CTGCAGAAAACACGTTAAAGTCGTAAAGCTCTCCAAAAACATCCCTCTGGATATCGTTTGCGTTGGTCTCTGCAGTTTTCTCCCGTGCAGTAACCTCCCTGTTGTAAAAGTTCTAGGGGTTTTCTTCTTCTTCTTCTTCTTCTTTTTTTCTTTGTCAGATCATGTGCATTGTTTAATGTGTGGAGAATGTACTCATCCACAATACTTAAGATAAATCAGCAGGTCAGCTGACACTGAAAACCTCCTTCTAGCTTTTTAAATGTAACACAGAACTTCTGGCGCATCTTCAGTTCATTTAAACCCACATTTTCATGTGAATGCTTCTTGATCTTCTTGAGGTTTTGGTCTTGAAGTGTCAGGGAATTGTTTTTTTAGTCAGATTGTTTTCTTCAGCATAATTCACATCTGAGTTTGCGTGTTTGTAAACTTATAACATTTTCATGATGATTTTGCTCATTTTCACATAGAGAAAAATCCAAAAGAACCAAAAAACATCTCTGCAAAAACACGTGAGAATGTTTACTTTCCTCACCGGCTAGATGTATCCGGGGCCAGAAAGTAAACAGTGGAGGAACGTTTCTACTAAGGAATCCATAGTTGTGAGAAAACCCATTCTCTTATAAGCCTCTGCTACAACTACCCAAGCTGTTTCAGTTTGCATGGTCTGCCGTGTCCCCGAAAATAAGACCAGACTGAGACCGTTTCCTCTAAAGGGTTTCTGTGCTGTTGTTTTGCTCTATATCCAAGTTTCTTTACACCTCTCCAGACCACCGCTTAATTTTCAGTTTTCATTTAGATATTTTTCTGTATATGAACCTGTGCACCGGACATCCCTCTCTCTTGAAGCAGTGAGCATGACACATTATTAACCTTATTGATGCCAATTTAGAAACTTTGTAACTAAATTTAGCACTTTTTCATACCCCTGTTAAATGCTTTTTCCTCTAAAAATGCACCTAGCAGTTTATTGTGGTGTCACAGACAGTAAGCAGTTGCTCTTATGAACGTGAGTTTGATGGAGCCCTGTCCATCCATTTGGACTTTCCAACCAATGTCTTAGGTACCCAGTACTGATGGCTGTCTTACTTCTTGATGGCACAGATTCACCAAGGTGCTGGAAACATTCCTTTTTGGACTTTATTGATATGACAGCATCACACAGTTGCTGCAGATTCATTGGCTGCACATCCATGATGAAAATCCCCGTTCCCCGGTCCAAACGTGCTCTATTGAATTTTCTGTTGCCCTGATCACTGTGGAGGCCATTTGAGTACAGTGAACTCATTGTCATGTTCAAGAAACCAGTCTGAGATGTTCTGAGCTTTGTGACATGGTGTGTTATCCTACTGGAATCAGCCATCAGAAGTTGTGGTCAGAAAAGGATAGACATGGTAAGCAACAATACAACAAGACCCTTTGGTGGTGTTTAAGCGCTGCAAAGGGTTGTCGTGATGTTTACGCCAGCTTTACCATCTTAGTGTCAAAGCAGAAACGGACACTCATCAAACCAGGCAACGTTTTTCAAGTCTGTCACATGTAGCTGTAATGCTCAGTGTTGTGTCCTCTCTGACTGCAGAGAAACCAGAGACATCCAGACTACAACTGAAGCTCTGGAGCTTTAAAAAAAAAGACAGGTATTTGGAGTGCCCTTGTTTTAGTAGTACTTAAATACTGCCTGTATTATATTTTAGTTAGGCCCAAGAAAGAATATGCATAAAAACAATAGCTGCTTTATTATTGTTTTTTACTTTCTTTTTAATCAAAGTTGAATGTCTCTGTAAATTTGGACACAAAAATCTTTGAGGGACAGGTTTTGTAATTCTGATGTGACATTTAGAAAACATGACACTTCACAGTGAAAATGTCAGAGAAAACTGTTACCTTTGTTTGCTAAAGACAAAAAACAAAGGTCAGTGCATGAGCGCTTGTCACAGTGTCAGGTCAGCTGTTGTTTGGAATGAAGGTATGAAGGTCAGATATTGTATGCAAACATGCAAGCACTCAAACACACACACACGCGCACACACACACACACACACACACACACATAAATCGAAGTTAAAGTGGAAGTTGACCTGCTAAGCATACTAGAAAATCTATTAAGATTTTTTTTAAGAGAGATATTTATAGTTTAGTTATCAATGTCTTAGTCAAAAAAGCTAAAACATGTGGCTTCGAATCAAATCTACTTGAGGACATAACACACTTTATATAACTTGTCTCATTCACACTATCACCTTTTTCTACACCTAAGTGCTTTCTAGCTAACATTCATACTCCGATGTGAAGTGTGACTTGGGGTTCAGCTTCTTGCCCGAGGATTCTTTGGCATGGAGACTGGAGCAGCCAGTGATTAAACCACCAACCTTCCAGTTATTGAATGACCTGCTCTACCTCCTGAGCTACAGCCACCCTATAGAAGCAAACAGCCAACATATACAAGAAACCCCTGCAACATGCTTAAGCAGGGCTTCAGAGACTACAGAGAAACATTAGCTTCTGATGCTAAGCGTGTACTCGCATTCACCGGAGAAAAATACTTATTTATTGGAAACAATTACTGACAAAGCTCATTTTTCTTCTGATGTCGTTCAAACAGATCTGTTGTCAGGAGTCAAACGTTTGCTTGTCCAAATATTTCATAAAAATCCAACAATTTACAGTAACACTCATTTTATTTTTCAAATGACTTTTTATAAATGCAAGTGTGTCTGACAGTATATGGGGCTCAAATACGTAAGCTGTGTAAATTCTCTGTTTCTGGGCAGACTCTTGTCTCCTCCGGCCTTTTAACATTCCTGTAAAAGACCCGTAAAAGCTGCAGCCTCAGCTTTATGGTTATTACCAGCTCTCTCTCTCTTTCTGTGCACTAACTGTGTCAGTCTCTTTTTATGGTGATTTGTGTTTAAAGTACAGGGCCTGTGCGTGATAGTCTACATTAGTGTACATTAGTGGACATTGTAGGCAACATTTAAAGCAAGAGAAGTGAGCATAAATAGAGCCAATGACCGTCTTATAAATATTATCTTCCATTTGCACAGAACAGTCAGACCTCTCTGTTGGTCTGTTCCAACGTCAAACCTGCTGAACATTTTTGAGTGGACAGCCTGTGGTTACAGTGATTTATAGGTTAATACTGGTTTTAGTGTAATGTGTAATTTTCCTGTGGCTCTGCCTCGGCTGTTCTAAGCCCCTCCCATCATTCACAAACACCTCTGCCAGGTAAGAGGAATCAGCTTAAGCCACTGCTCCTTAACATCTTACCTCCAACCGCAAATCTCACCTGATTTGATCTGACACCGCCTGTGATTGGCCAAAGCCTCCTGATGGGGCCCAGAGGAGGTGCAGGAGTCTTGATTTGCTTACCTGAGCTTTAATGAACTTAAGTTGCTGGTAGATTAATTTTGTCGTGTTTGGGCAGTGCCACTGTTTGTTCGGTGTGTGTGCTAAGGCTAGCTAAGCTCAGGAGTGTTAAAGTATTTCTTAAAGCCCTCCTCCAGTAGTTATTCCTCCAATCTGACCATTTCATTTGGTCCATCTGCTCTGCAAATACTATAAATCAGCATAAAAGCAGTTTATACAATTTATATCGTTTGCAACAGTTAAACACAACGTGACCGGGCTTTTGGCTTTATGTAATGCTCAAGAACCGTAGTACAGAACCCTGAGATGTCCCATAATGTTTACCATTTGTAAACAAGAGTCTTTGTTCACTGATGTGAATCATTTAAAGATGTTTTATATGTTAGTCAAAGGCTGTTGGGTAATACTGTGGGTTTTCTTGGGCTCTTTGCTGATCAGCAAATGCCTTTTTGCCAGTCATGCGTCAGTACTGGCTGTCTCAGCATCACTGCATGAGTACTGACAACGAATGAAAGTTTCATTCCCAAACAGAGATGTTGTCTCATGACTGGTAATCTGATGTGTGTCTTCTGAGGATAGCATTAGAGCTACGCCAAAGGCAACTTAAAAACAAAGGTTTTAAACAATATGCTTTTTCTTTTTTTTGATCAATCTCAACATCTTTGCTTCTCCAAACACAGAAATAAGCACATAAAACAGGCTCGGACACGACATGTCAGACCTAAATCTCTGCAGACAGGATGACAAAATGCAAAAATGACCTTTTTCACCTCCTGTAATAAATGTGCCAATGCGACACTGACCAGACCGAGCTAACAGCCTCCTCTAACTCTGTAATGACCTTGTTTGGGTCATCCTGCTGCAAACAGCAAGGAGCGAGAAACAGACAAAAGAAACTTTGTCACAGTGTTATTTTCCTAAGTAAACAAAAGAATGCTTTTTGCTTCTCTCTCACCTTCTTTCTCTTCCTGAAAAGTTTTCTTAACATTTTGATTAATAGGAAAAGCAAAGGAGCAGCTGACCCCTTAATGCAGGGGTGTCAAACTCAAATACACAGTGGGCCAAAATTCAAAACTGGAACAAAGTCGCGGGCTAACGCTAATATTTATTGAAATATATTTATTCCTCCAGATATAAGAATGAATCTTTTCTTATGGACTCAAACACGTTTTGCTGAAAAACTGAATATGGAACAAGCAAAGCTTAATACTAAACAATATATATATTAGCTGTATAATACCAATAGGCCAGCTGTAATAGTAATTTGGTATGGGCCCGCGGGCAGGAGTTTGACACCTATGCCTTAAGGCTTAGCTGCTCAATATATGTGTGTAATTTGATGGTGTTTAACTGGTCTGAACATTTTGGGTACTGGTACCCAACCACAGAAGATCCTTCCATCCATTTTCTTCCACCTATCCTTTTCAGGTTTGTGGGATTAGTGAAGATAAAACACAAATTCAGCACGCTTTAAATGCATGGAAATGTTAAAAAAAGAGTTCAGGTGCTCAGTGCAGTTTTTTTAAAGTGACCTTTTGTTTCACACAATGACCACTTTGTGTGGAATCTGTTTGTAAAAGGCTTTGAAGTTGTCTCTGGGGCTCAATAAAACATCTGTGTTTCTCTTTCCCCACCAGGTAACCACATGCTGTTGAGAGTTCTGCCCTCAGTCTACCCCAAACAACCAGACACCATTCACCACCACCTAGGCAACCTCAGCGCCATGATGCCACAGCTGGAATCCACCGAGCAACAACACCTGATCAGGCTTATTCAAATGGTTGCTGAGCAACATCCACTTGTGAGTTTTTGTGCTGACAAATTAACAATTTACTGTGTTTGAAACCAACTATTCAAACTATCCACTTTCATTTGGATTATTTGGATTATTTTTTCTGTTAAGTTATGGCTGCTCATACCACTATTACTTCACCGGCAATTTATATTAAAATTTCAGTCATTGTGTCACCGCTTTGCAGCCAACACGGTGAAAATTACAATAATAATATATATAAAATGTTGTGACAGACTTCTAAAATGTTTCTATTTTCTTGTTTTTACGACAGGTGGCATTATAAATTTGTTCAGCCCTCTACATCATTTAAATGCCTCCCACCACATAGTTCAGACCATGTAGAAACCTCAGTTGTGTGCTTGGTGAGGCTTATTTAAGTGCCTGTGTTTTGGGTTTCTTGAAGCTTTGCCGGTCACTACCTTCAGTGACCTTGATCTGACTGTTTCAGGAATCCATAGTCAAGTGACACCTAAACATAGTATATACATGCTATATCTAGTATTAATTAGAGATGGCACGATACCACTTTTTTATGTCCGATACCGATATCATAAATTTGGATATCTGCCGATACCGATATAAATCCGATATAGTGTGTTTTTTAATCAATAAAACTGTTTTTTAATATCTTGCTGCATTTTGTATAAGTTCATACTCAAGTTTAAATAAACAACAACACTGAAGCTATTCTGTTATACCTGTATGCAAAAAATACACTGCACCCGACATATTTCATAGTTCAGCAACACTGATCAATCTAATAAACTTAAACCTACTCAATCCTTCCTATTCTGGTATTTTAAAGAGTACTTAGCAGAAATATTAAGCAACCTAACTAATAGGGTTGCCAACTCCCAGCAAAAAAAAAATTGAACCCCCCCCCCACCTTATGATGCTTAATCAACGTAATCAACTTTAATTTGATGCAGTGTGAAAAAAAAATGCACAGAATTAAATTATTTTTCAAGAATAATTAAATAGATTCAACATCTTTGCAGACTTGCAGACTGCACAGATGGTATCTTCCCAAAGGAAAAAGTACTATAGCTTACTAGGGTATATTAGACTTAACAGTTACTATATACAGTAATGGACTTCTATA